ACCCTGCTTCTCAGAAGAGTGCCCTGACTATCAGGTCAAAGGATATTTCAAGGCGCGATGGAAGGGAAGTAACAGTCCCACTTGCTCTATCCTGTTTCATTGCATTGAAAAGGATTCAAGGTGCCTTGTGTCAGGGAGTAGGAGAAAAAGAAAGAAAAGTGGGCCTGTCTGTAAGGCATTATTATGGTGGACAACTGGTCTGCTCTGATCCATGCATGTATCTCACGATTTCCCGTGCACTTACTGAGGCCCCTCCGTGAGGATTGCCTGTCTACAGTTATGTTTTCAGGCTTATGAATTATGCAGGTTTTATCCATTTAATGTGTATGTTGACTTCGTATCATTCTAGTTTCTTAATCAATATGCCAGGCGAGATGGAGCGTATGCCCTGTGAGGCTTCATTAATCATGCATATAATCTCATAAAAAGATATTACAATACCTAAAAAGTTTTAATTCTGAGAGCTCCAGCCCATCACTCAGCAGTCCCCCATGACAGCACGCTTTCCTCCGAGCACTCTTGATGGGTTTTATGAGTTGTCTGCTTGTTCTGTAGGGGCACGTGGGTACATGCATTATGCATAAGCTTGTCCTTGTTTCGCTCTATCTGTCAACACGCTGGTTGATGAGCATTCACATGCATTTGCTGCATCATTTTTAGCAATTCAGAATTAGAAAATGCCTTTTTCTAAATTCCTATAATGTTAAAATTCCTTTAATTTAAGAAAAATAAAACCTATAAAGGGTATGGTAAGTGATTTTAACACTATGATGAAGTGACTATTCTTACTAAGATTTAGTGATTTTTGTCAATAAAAGCACAAACCTAAAGCCACTTAATTATTGATTATAGCACTGACGCATAGAAAAACATAGAGTACCTTCTGTTATATGGAATCTTGAATAATTTTGTTTTCATTCTCATGTTCACCCTGACCCATTTTAATAAATACCTTCCTATCTAGGCTAGGCAGACAAAAAGATGTACACCAGAGGCCACTGCACAGCAGCTTCACAGTTCAGGCTTCTCCTTGGCTTGCTGGTTTTTTTCTCTAGTAAACCCACTTATTTATGCAGCTTGATCTGTTTTAAACGTGAGAATATTCACATTTCCCAAGCTGAACCAGACAATGGCATGTTTGAAATTCAAAATGAGAAATATATGAAAATGGTGACACAGGGTAAGACCCAGGGTTTGTCTCCTCCATGAACTTGTGGCCCACAGCAAACACTTTGAGAAGAGTGTAGGAAAAGGGTGAGCTCTCCCTGCCTGCAATGATCAGGGACTTCCCGAGCTGAAGGTGACATGACCTCTTACCTTCCACTACCTCTGCTGCTCCTGCGGTTAACTGCATTTTTTCTAAATGCAAATCAGAATATTTATTGAACACTTTTTCTGTGCCAATCAAGAAAATTGGATTCTTAGAAGCTAATAGCAAGTTTATGCTATTTTGAGATTGTTTCCTGTTCTCTATGTGTTTAAGGAGCAGCTTTTGTTCTTTCATGATTTACAGGTAAGTTTTTACTGTCCTTAAACCCGTTGACTATCACTGTTTGTGCCTTTTGTTCACCATTTGGGTGCATTCCCTTGGCAATAGCCTGTATTTGTTTTTATCACATCTCAAGGTTTTCCTAGCTCTACTCCCTACTTCTCTGTAAACAGCCCACTGTCAAAGCCATTGTCTTCACAGCTGCAGGACTGTAGGGTTTAGCTACCCAGTAAGGAATTCTTAAACTCATTACTCACTTTTAGTGAGTAATCTTATTTTTCTTACTTCTTAGAGTGAGGTTGGGTCCAAATTTTGCTGATTCTTAGAAAGAAGATGAAGACTATCCTTAGTATTCCTTAACCCATAACTTTGGTGCTGCTTCTTATTTACACGTTATTAGACTTGGATATTCTTTAAGAGGTTTGTATAATGGGAACAAATTAAGCACATAGGATAATATGCAACTGCAGAACGTCATCAGCGCTCACAGGTCACTCAGTGTGGCAAAGCTTTCCTTCCATCCCTGTCTTTCTAGTTCTGCAAAATGTCTTCTTGCATTGAGCAAAATGTACACCAGCATTAGCAACCAGCTCTGACAGCTCATACATTCTGTTTTATTGAGCAATAAATTAATGTCTTATCAGCTGCTAGGACTGACAGTTTTCACTCATGCACACTGAATTGTGGTGTAATCCCTTAGGCCGGGCTCTCTGTCAGTTACCTGCGGTTTAAATGAAGATACCAGTTTTTCATAGCAACCAGTTAGACTGTTACACAGTTTTTCAGTTCCTAGCCTCATCACAGCAAAGAGCAAACTGGTACAGGCTGCAAGAGAGGCGGGCAGTTCACCCTGTATGGTAGGGCTGGAACACAGAACTGCATATAACTCCTAGCAATATTGTTAAGCAAAGATTCGTTAAGATACCACAATTACAAAGAAATGAAATTCAGTTGCTAAGGAGCACAGCTGGTGAGGGACCCATTTCACTAAAGGCAGTTTAAAATAAACATAGTGCAGTACAGCATCAAGAATGAGAGAACTCAGTCAAATGTAGGAAAACGGTGTCTTTTTCAGAACCAAGGTTCATTTTCCTCTCTGAAATGAATGCACATCCAAGACCCAGATTTTCTAGATTTCTGCTTGCTGGATGGGTTTTGTTTCCTTGCTCAAGAAAGCCCGGGGGGCTTGCAGAGCTCAGTAGTAAGCAGCCTCCTCACAAAAACTGCACACAGACAACTATTTCCCCAGGTTCAGTGAAGTAATTTAGTAAACTTTCCTGTAAACTGTAAGGCTCCAGAAGAGACACTGATTAAAATGGTAGCTGTCAGGTTTTCGTTTTCCAATGAAATTATATTGGGTTAGTAGTCAAAGCAAGATACCTTCACATATCTATTTATCTATCTGTCCATCCATCCATCCATCCATCCAATACATTTTCACCAGTTGTGACATGTTAGCCTGAAGTTTTGAAAGTCAGTCTCTGATGAGTCTGTTTTGCCTTCACTGGAAAACATTCAGGCTTTTTTCTGGTGATACTCAAGTAGAACAGAAATGCATTTCTTGCTCTTCTCAAGACTCTCAGAAATTTGTACTCCAGAGTGCGGGAGGCGGTAGGAAATACAGTGGCTTGTCTCCTTGGTGAGCATAAAGGAGTTCTTTGTCTCAGCTGAACATACCACATGAGTTCCAGGAACACATCCTGGCCTGTTTCTGCGCAGAGCCCAACTGCGTAAACCCAGCGGCACTTCAGATTTTACCAAGCCTGCTGGGGATTTACACAGCTGCTGGAAGAAAGACTTCATTCTAGTTCATGTTGAGAAGGTATGTGCAGTTATACAAGCACTCTTCTGGGCACAAGTAGACTTGTATGGTTACCCACTACTGTTATTAACAAGACCAAGACAGGTTTTTAAAGCGTTTTCTATATCCTTAGGAACAGCCCTGAATGCTTTGTGCAGATATGGTTACATTTAGTGAAGAAGATTTTAGGCGGGGGCTTTGTTCATGAAGAAGGTTAAAAAAACCCCTGAATCAGTAAAATGCTGGCTCCTGTGCTCAAGATGTGTGCATTAAAGGGAAAGGGGGCGGGGAACAAACGTCATATTCAAGTTCTGAGGATAAGTGCATGTGAATACTTTGCCTCTAAACCTTTGTGCCAAGCTGCGAGGTGTTGGCTCTGGGCTCAGGCTTAGTGATTTCCTCTGTTCTGTACAGGTGAGTGCAGGAGGTACACGAGGCCCAGCAGCACGTTCCTCTTTGCCTCTGGCTTCTCCTCTGCTTACCCTTTCCCAGAAACAGTAAGATTTTTGTAAAGACCATGGGGAAGTCTTTCAGAGCAGCGCCAGCTGAGCCTTGTGTGCGCAGAGGTACGTGGTGCTGCTGCTGGCTGAAAGGCTGGCTGCTGGAAAGGAAAATACATTCTGCTTGTGTGCTGAAGGGATCCGTGGTCTCACAGAGCACTGCAGCAAGAACTACCTCTCTTCCCACACACACAGGGCTTGGGAACTGCAGAGCCCTAAACCTCTAATCTTCCCTTTCTTTCCCTTTCCTTCCTTGAGCAAGCTGTCGCCTGAACACTGACAACACCACAGAGCTCTTCCAGTGAATCTCTGCATTGCCTAGCACAGCTCTGTGACATGTGAAGCACAAGCCACCTCTGTGCATAGAGTTCCCAGCTTCTGCAGCCAGGTCTGGGAGTCAAAGCTGGTGTTTGGCTGAAAAGACTTTCTGCTAGAGTTGCTGACATACAGATTTGTTAAGGCTTGCACCACTCCAGTGTTCTTGAACAGTGTGAGTTACTGCTGGCAACAGTAGTGCTGCAGTCATTGAGGCTTTTGTCAGAGCAGAGCCAACCCCGGGTGTTAGAACCTCTGAAGGACAAAGGTCAGTTCTCCACCATCTTCAAAGTAGAATCTGTGTGTGTGCACTGTTCTCTTGCTGCATCATGCTGTCCTTTTCTGGCTATTACAGCTACTTGTCTCATGCTGGTGTTAAGGACTGGGGGCTGTGTTCTCGGGGTCTTCGGGTATAATCTCTTGGCCACTGCAGAAGTAGGAGTTCAAAGTCTTGCTGTCCACCCGCTGCTGGAGGTCGCTCCTCTGCTGGAGACTGATGCCAAGCACCTGAGCCACACTGGCTGTGCATGTGACCCATCACAGCTCATCCATGGGCTATGGCTAAGCTGTTAATACTTTCAGCTGCTCTGATTGTATCTGCAAGAGACTATTGCCATGTATTTTGTTTTCTGAATGGATACATTTCCCCTTGTGTTTGTGTGAGTTTATCTTAGAGCATGGACAATGATTGCTTTTGGAGAAGGGTGTAAGAGTCTGATTCCTTACTGTCTGCTATGTCTCAGGTTGCTTTTAAGTGAATGGAAAAATGCGAGTCTCATTCACTGCTACTATTTGTTATTTTTTTCCCTGTTCAGATGCAGGTGGATAACTGGACACCCAGTGCACATGTTCAGAAGCCATGAGTTCCAGAAAATTACTCTCAGAAACACGGAGGATGTTTCCTGCTACTAAAGTACACTGCCAGCAGCCATCACGGATTCTCATTGTGGATGTCACATCACCTTCCTGGACCAACACTTGTTCTGTACTCTCTGAAGCTCTGGAAAACACACTGTGTTTGGCACACAGCTTGACTGGTCCCTGCCGTGTGCCCCTACTGAGCCTCTACGTGGTGCAGAACCAGCAGGAGTGTCTGCTCCCCTTTACGGTAGGTGTGAAATTATGTTTCTTGGGATCTAACAAGCATGAATGCAACAGATTGTTGCGGTTCAGTAAAGAAAGTTATGATTTACTCCAAATATATATCTAAAAATCAGTCATTCTCAGAGAGCACAGTTTCATAGACGTCGTGGAAGAGGTGAATTTTATGAAGAATGATGTTTAAAAGGAGTGTCATCTTTGATCTGTGAAATTGTTTGTGTACGCAAGTTAGGTTTTGTGCTGTCTCCTCTAAAGCATCTTTTGTGCCTCTCCATTTCATAGGCTGTTTTCTGCACTATCTGTACTGCTTCTCTATCAAAATTGTCAAACACAACTCTAAAGTTGTAATAATTTGGGTGGTGAAATGGTCAATATACTTGTTGATTACACAAACATTACCACTCTGGGAGAGGTTCCAGTCATTAAAGGGGAAAGGATCAGAATTCAGAATATTTTTGCCAAAATTGAGAAGTATCCTGAAATTATAGACTTGCAGATTAATAGATCAACTAGGAAGAAAAAACAGAGGCCAACAGTAATTTAGCAAATGTGATCTGCAAGAGACTATGGTTAATGATGGTGTTTGGTTTGTAGAATAGGTCATAGTTAACGTGATAAGGAAAACTTCAGGGGATACCAAAGAAAGATTTTCTGGAGCTACTGTGAAATCATGCTGACTAGGGGCTTTAAGAACAGACACTTGTCTTGCTTCCTTGCTTTTTTATTTAAGCAGCAGTTCCTCAGTATGATAACCACAATTTTTACGGAGAGAGGAACCCTTAGATCATTGTTTGGCTTCCTGCATATTTCATATTTCACTGAAGTACCCATATAACATTGAAGCACTTCCTCCAGAAAGACATCTAGTGTTGATCTGAAGATATTACAAGACAGAGAACCAAGTAGTTATCAAGAGAGAATTTCTTCCAGTGCTTTATCACTGTCATTGTGAAACTTGCACTTAATTCCTAATTTGCATGTGTTGACTTCAGCTTCCAGGGATTTGTTGAAGTATTTTCTCTTTTGGCTAGGCTGAAGAACCTGCTTGTATTTTATCCTTCCTTCCTTCCTTTAAATAGAAGCAGATTCCTAGCAGGCCTTCTAGCTGGTAAATAAAAGAGAACAAAGTCTAAGTCTGGTTGCAAGGCATTTCCGTGGGCCTTTAATATCTTCCAACACTCCTCTGTTTTTTTGGATACATTCTGATACTGGACCCAGCAACACTGTACAGTGAGCTAAAAAATACCCCCTCCTCCTCTTCGCATGACTGGTAATCACATCTTTTTTGCCATAATATTGTGTTTCTCTGGGATTTGTCCAGGAAGCAAAGTTCACACTCAAAAGCCTTGCGCCAGGAACGCACACTGGGCTGATGGCACAGCTCTAGTGTGAGGCCTCTCTCCCCAGCTCTACTTGGCTGCTCTGCCTGCTGAGCCAGCTCTATTTCAGGCACCGGCTGTTGTACTGAAGATATTTTCAGAACTGTTCTTTCTCCATTAGGAACAGTAAAGTGTAGCAAGATGAATATCTTCAGTGGAGCTAATTTCACTGGTAATGATATCTGGTCCTCTGCACCTTCTGGAATCAGGAGCAGTCTTACATCTGTCTGAAAAGGTCTGTCCTGAGGGCTCTGTTGCTTTTCCTGCAGTCCTGAATTGCCCCCTTGCCTCAGCAGGGCGTGCTGTTTGCCACACTGACATTCTCACCTAGCTGGAGGAAAATTTGATACTTCTTAGTGAGGAACCAAGATAGATCTGTATTAAAGGTTTCTTATTAGACAAATCATACTAAGTCAGGAAGGCCCCAAAGCTGAAAATAGAGATTGGGAGAGTACAAGGATAAGTGTCATATAAAAGGTAACCCTTTTCTTAAGTCTTTCCTGGGCACTTGTTTGTGGTCTCTGTTCCTACTGGTCTGCCCTACTGGCCTGACTGACAAGACCAAAGAGCTTCCCTGGAAAGAGCAGAGGATGCCAAAGAAAAGGAAAGCAGGAAGTAAGTAAATAACCGTGGAAGACAACTGATGGTGACAAGAGGGGAAGCGAGTACTAAAGCATCAAAAAATTTAAATGTGGGACAGAGTAAAGACTCTGAGCACCTCCAGCTGATGGGTCCTGTTCCTACTGGTTTTCCCTTGGGATGGGCAGGCACCACCCACAACTCCCAGACCCTCTCTGACAAAAAAAGGCTAAAAAAAGAAACAAGGGAGAAAGACATTAGCTACAGGGACCAGCAAACAGTGAGTGAGGGCACAACATGTGAAGGAGCCAGACGGGGCAGTGAGCACAGTGCCTGTCCCAGCTTCAGTCTCTCTTTTTGGTAGCTCTTCTCTGGAAGCTGTGTAGTGTTGTAGAATAAAATGTTTTGCTGGGTGTACATTGTGAAATTGTGAATTCTTGGGGTTGTGCATTGAAGGAGCAGGGTCACATGTGAAGAAATGTACCATGGTGTATGCCAGTGGGCTGGGTGCTTCAGCACCCAGAAGAGGGGTGCAGTCATAAATGGTTAACACAGTTTGCGTTTAGAAGTTTAAGTGGTGTCCCAGGCACATCCCAGAGCTGAAACCACAGCTTGCATAGACTCACCTGAGCTAACATGTAAAGTAGCTGGGCATATACAAGAAAAAATACAACTCTGCTGTGCCAGCTCCAAAGGACAGGTACTTAACTGGACTTGAGGCTGCCTGCAGCCCACACTGAGCCCTGTTCTGTCAGTTAGGATCAATACTTGTCCTGAGAGAGCTGGTTTACATCTGTGCGAGCTGCAGCAGCCTCCCGGATTGCAGGGAATTTGGCTGTACCACTATGAAGAGGCTCCTGGCCACATCCACTTGGTGCATTTGTCGAAGATTGCTGAACCTCACAGCAGAACTGATGTAATGGGATGTCACTGTGTGCACTGTAGAGCACAAAGCGTGGTGAACACAGGTTCCAGAGGTCTGCAGCTCAATGAGTAAAGGAGTACACATACGGCAGGGGTGACTATGGCCTGGGGATACCACACTGACTCAGTGCTCTCTCTTACTTGTCTTAAGCTCCTCTCTGCTGTGGAGGGTCAGCAGAGGGGGCAATGCTGAACTACTACATTTTAGCTAGCAGCAGGTAGACAGCTGGAAATTTGAGGAGTGATCATATGTGTTTTACTAGTATAAAACCAGGCTGGTTTTAATTCCTGTCCGTCTTCCCTGCTTTGTGACTTGGCTCCTACTCCCAGTCTTAACTCAGAGCTGTGAATTCCAAAACCTTCTTCCACATCGTGGCAAATGAGTTCATAGTGTCAGTTTGACACTTCCAGTCTTTAAATTTCATTGAATACTGTTTTTGCAGCAAGTGAAAGAAAACTTTGCACGAATCCAAGCATGCATTTCAGAGCTCCGTTTGCTACCAAGAGAAGGCTGTTTCCCACAGGGGGGAAACGGAGTGGTACAAGCTGTGCAGGATGGATTGCAGCAGTTCAAGCAGTACAGCAGACACACAGCAGCAGGAAGCTCAGCAAACAGTTCTGTTGAGGTAAGAAGAGGTTGGGAAAGTAGCAGGAGCCCTCCACCAGACTTGCTGCTAATGAGCACATTCCGATGACAATCTGTGTGGTATCAAGGTCCATGGGAGGGGGCAATGAAGAAAATAAGCCCTACCAAAAAAATCCCACAGGGCAATCTTGGAATGCTCATGGAAACCAGACAGGTTCAAGTTGGAGCTGTTTATGGAAACTGACTTATTTTGCAGTTAGAAAAATGCGTCTGATTTCAGGCATTTAGGATTAAATGTTTTTCCAGTTTTGTTTTGATTACTTTCACAGAAGAGCTGTATCAAAGGCAAAGCCATTCACAGTACTTATGGACATGATTCTCCTTTCAGCCTAGTGATATTCTGTGGTTACAGCATTAGGACCCTCCACTGATACAACAGAATGTTTGTGCAAAGGTGCACACTAGTGGCTGTATTTTCAGCTGCGTGTGTGTACTTGCCTAAGTGGGAGGGAAGTTGCTAAAAGCATGAGAACATTTGTGCAGATGTAGAAAGCAGAGCAAGGTTCACAGGAAGAAGTGGTTTTTTTAAAGTAGTATCAACTGACGTGAAAGGGCACAGTTGGCAAGAGGGGAAGGACTCAGAAGTGGTGTTTTCTTCTAGACATAAGAAAACATTGGCTCTAAACTATCTTTCATTTCAGACTTCACAGACTCAGGGTCCACCTGATTTTGGAGTTTTGTCAGTCCTGTAAAGGAATCCAGACCCCCAGGAGTGATATTTCCCCAGTCCTTCTACTTTATTTAGATCCTTAAACCCTTCCAGAGTTGTGCTTTGATTAGGCAGACTCTCCCAGCTGTAATTCAGACTCACTTCTAGTATCTATCCAGGAAGCGTTTTCCCTGACTTACTTCTCCTCTGTGTTTTCTTAAGGCCTTGAAGTATCTTTTCCCCAGCTGTTTCAAATGTGATTTGTGCTTTAACTTTAAAGCTGGGGCTTGGAACAAACAGTGCACTTTTGAAATCAGACCTTTTTCAACACACAACAAAATCCAGGACCTCTTCTAGTATAGTCGAAGGAATGAAATGGCTACATTCAAAATCAAGTTATCTGTGAATACAGGAAGTTTATATCCAGTAAGCAATCCTGTTCCTCTAGATTATGCAGCTATGTTATACTTTCCATTGCATATGGATGCCAGACACTTGCTGCAGTGAGAGGCTGTGGTATTAACATATTCGAAAGTGTTGGCCACCATTTGTATAACTTTGATTTTCTCATAGGAACGGCGTACACAGGTGCAACACTAATTCCCCCTCTTCTGACAACTTACCAACTTGTATTTGCTCTTGTATACTGGAAAATTGGGTGTCCTCCACTCTTCTGGAATTAATCTGACCACGTGCCACTTTGTTGGTCATCTTGGTAGATAATCAAATGTTTTTCTTCCTGGTACCAGAAAATAGCGAGTTTGCATGCTCTGTTACTGCAGGGGTCCTGGGTATACTCAGTTCCATCTAAAGACAACCCTAGAGGAGAGGTCCTCATCTGTAAAATGCTCAGGGCAGTCTGCAGAGATGCTGAGCTGGAGCAGCAGTCTGACCCACATCTATATGGTGAATTCCCCTATACCCAAAGCACAGAATGATGTAGCAGAATTTTGTTTTACAAAAATCCAAACCAAACAAACAAAACCCCCAAACCCAACAGCAAAACCACAACACTCAAGCAAGCAGCAAGCAAAAACCCACTCTCAAACGTGCACAAATTCTAACAGATTTCTTAGGCAGAACAAGAACTCTGTAACCCAGGAGATGTGGCTGTTCTTCAGCAGCTTCATGCAGAAAAATGTACCTAAATTGCTGCATAGAAATCTCTGCTAGGAAACATCTCGTGCAGCACTAGAGAGCCCCTGGCGAGGTCAGCTGCAGGCAGAGGAGCTCTGATAGACGCCTCTCACTGACAGCTGAAAACATGATCCCTTTCCCTTCACCACATTCAAACTAGTGTCCACACTGGAGGCTTTGTGTTTTCCTGGTTTCCATACAACAGCAAATACCATAGACACCAGTCACACTTGCCAGCTCTAGTCTTCCCTCTGAGTTGCTCCATGCTGACTCTATTCCATTCCCCATTTCCACTGCCTTACTTCCTTTTGAGCTGTTAGTGGCAGACATCAAATGTTTCTTCCAAGAAACCATGCCTTTACAGAGCAAAGGGAAAGAAAAAATAAAAATAGCTCTTTTGTGGCTTCAGTACTGGCTACTATTTATAGTGATCCTATTTATTTCCTTTGAAAAATATCCAAAATAAAACTAGAGAGAATTCAAATAACATAGAGATCTAAAGTATTACAGTACGCTTGATTCTAGCACAGGTACTGGAGAAGGTGCTTCCAAAAGGCAACACATCGTGCTTGTCTATCTTGAGGAAACTTCAGCTCATAGTTAGTTCTGTGGAGAATCTCAAGGACAAAGGACTTCTCTCCAAGCTAGCAACCCTTCCTGTTCTGTGTGCTGCAGAAATCCGACCTGTGGATGAAATTCACTCCTCTGCAAGTCTCAGCGAAAGGTGTTTCAACAGTCTTAAATGGGATTTGGGGGGTGGCCTTGGTATTTCACGTAAGGATGGATAAGCACCATCGGATCATCAAGGAGCCAGGAAGCGAGCAGAAGAGCACCTACAATTCTCAGATCTTTGTTGAAAATAAAAGCTGGTGATCTCAGAAGGCAAAAGCATATTTCACCCTTGTAAAAGGCCAAGCACCCTTTTGCTTTTTGCTGTTACACTTCTAAAGCAACACAAGTTAATCCAGAAGCTTTCCACATGCTTCCATCCACCTGGAAGAGACCACCCCAGAGCTGTGCCAGGAAGACAGAGGCACTGCACTGCCTGTGGCACCAGCCCGCTGGCACCATAGTGGTGGCAAGGCCAAGGGCAGCAGCAGTGGGGCATGCTGTAGGGAGCTCAGTGGGAAGAGGCTGGACAGGACTATGAACAACAGTTGGATGAATCATAGAATAGTTAGGGTTGGAAAG